CCTGCCTTGTGTACACATGTGGCTCTTGAGGTCCCACAGCGACGGGGCCGGAAATTCAGCAACAAACTCCACATTGGGGTCAAGACAATGACTGAGAGCAGCACACGGCAGCTGTGTCCATTCCACAAGCCAGCACAGCGCTACAAACACTGGGGCCTATGAAATAAGCAACAGAGCAGTAAGCAAATATTCTGGTGAACGCTGAAGTGTGGATGGCGCTGGGAAACAGCAGCTAACAGAGCGGGGAGCTGCCTTTCTGGGCGTGCTTGTGGGAAGAGAACAGCCGCAGGTATGCAGAGAGTTTCTACTTTTAAAATCCACCTGAAGCAAAACATCTCTCAGGAGGCCTACTCAGCACACAACTCCTGTAGCCTGCTCCACTACAGGACCTGCTCATGAGTTACTGCTCCGATGCCCCCCTAGTTATCAACTGAACGATCAAGGAACTGGTGGTAGCAAAACTCTATAAAAATAGCAAAATCACCACGACGTGCACACTCTCTCTACTCCAAAACAGTTCATTAACACTTGTCAATGTTTTGGCATCCACAAAACAACCTTCACCATGACAAACTGCTAGCAAAGAGTTCCCCTAATCACAGGCATGTGAAAACAAGTCCCCCCTTTTTCTTTAAAAAGAATGTCATGGAATAAACTTCCATCTGATACTCATATAAAAAGACCCAGTAAACAGAAATTAATGCACGTTCAAAAATATAACTTTATTTATTTACTATATAGGAAATAAACTCATTATATTCAAATATCCTCTGTTCAGTAGCAAAGCTGCAATGTAGCCTTTTCTTAAACTGTTCTTAAACTTAATTTTTCTTGTCTGATGAGGATATAATTAACCATTGCTGTTAAAACTACTACATCTTACTCTACCTTATGTTGCAAATGTTCCTTTATTAATGAGTTGCATTGGGAGTTTTTTCCTCACCAATGTCCGAAAGCGCTCTGTCCTGACACTAACACAGTGTAATAAGAGCTGCTCTGCACCTTGGAGCAGCTGAGCAAAGGCCTTCAATGAGCAGAGCAATCCTTGGCCTTCATGATCCCAGAGAATTCTGGGGTTCCTGCCAGCAGGGCTCTGTTACTCAGCTGGTGGTTTTAATGAAACTGATCACTTGCTTAATCTCAGATCAGGAGCTTTTTCCACTATAAAAAAGTAAGTCCAATTTACAAATAAAATGTTTTACTTTATATCAAGTTCAGGTGGGTAGCTCCGTCAGCATGCGCAGGCTGCAAAGGAACAAGTAATAGGTTTATTCCATGCTGAAAAAAGATTCGGCCGTGGAGCCTTCTTCAGGTGTGAGCAGGTGTGGAGAAGACTCCATGGCCAAGACGTTCTGTTTTCTTTCTTCTTTTTTCAGCATGGAATAAGCCTATTACTTGTTACTTTATATCTATACAAGTTTATAAAGTGCAAATGATGACAAAAGGTCAAATGAGAATAAACTGTATTCGATTAATATCTCCATGAGGTGGAAGAAAGCAGAGAAACCCAGAAGACACCAAGGTCAATAGGGCCATCATGGGGAAGGCCTCCTCTCCCCATGAAGACTTGTAATTGTTGATATATTAGCAAGTGATCATTCTTTTAGATTCGAGAGAGTGTGCACCCAATTGATTCTGCGATATTTCCTTGATTTCTATTTTAATTGGGCAACAGGTTCATAATTTTTGGTTGTGCATTCTTACTCTCTTTTTGTAAGGACTCATCGTTTCCAACAGAATGATTTTCAAGAATGGTATTGTGAATATCATGTGCTGCATACTTTGTGTCAGTCCTGCAAGGTGAATTTCCTGCAATGGCCATTGTGTGCCAGGTATGCTACTTCTTTCTTTTACCACCATTTGTAAACAAAATGGATCTTACTTGGCAGTCTTATCGGTAATTTGTCCAAAGGGTGGAAATTTCTTACCAAATTGACATACTGTATCTACAGGTGGGTACAAAGAATAATCATAATGCTGGAGTTGATTTTGCCCCAAATAAAAAAATATTGAAGTTTTCATTTAAAAGCAGCAGTCTGTACCTCTTTCTACAGACATGGCCTTGCAGTAATTGATTTATTGCACTGTGTTCCAAACACAGAGCAGGTTTTTCAGTGAAGCACAATGGAGTCAGAAGGTGTAATTGCAATTAAGAGTCAATCGCTTCAGTTCAAAAGGTTGAATGTCTCTGCAGTAACTCTCTCAGAAGTGGAACAATACCTGCCAGACAATTCAGATCCAAATGCAATAAAATAATCTATGCACAAAGATTCGGTTTCACAAAAAGCTTCATTTTAACTAAAACACTTTTGAAAACAAATGATCCCCTGAACTGAAATACCCTTCAGTTTGTCTGGGTTTTTTTTTCCATTTTATCCACTTCCATTTGCATTTCCACACCAGCTAATATGCATTCCTGTGTTCTGGGATGTGCTCTGATCTGGAATCAGTGCCAAGGGAAAGTAATACAACAACTGTGCTGGACCACCTCTGCCACACAGCAGGCTTTTTTCTTGCCCAGCATGGCAGAGCACTCCAGCAATGCCAAATCCTTACCCGCATAGCTGAGGAAGCATCACAGAACCTTAGTGCATTGGCAAGGGCTTTCTTTATACAAAGCAGTTAATCCATCCATCCATTTGCTAACTCCTTTATCCAATTCAGGGTCACAGAGGAGCCAGAGCTTATCCCAGCAAGCAATGGGCGTTAGGCAGGATATACCCTGAACAGGAGGCCAGTCCAACAGAGGCCACGCACACACTCACTCACTCCTGAAGCTAATGTTCCCAGAAGCCAATTAACCTACCAGCAGGTTTTTGGACTGTGGGAGGAAACCAGAGCACCCGGAGAAATTTCACACTAACACAGGAACACCATACTGTACAAACTCCACTGTGAACACTCCAGAAAGTGAACCCAGGGCCCCAGCTCTGCTAATAGCTCCACCACTGTGCTGCCACAAAGTTAATAACTCTGAGAATTATAACAAAGGCACTTTGCACTCTGCAGACATAATGCAGCTGGGTGGAGGGTACTGTACTTCAACCCTCTCTCCTCTCTCCTCTGAGGTGCACAGTCACTGTACACCAGAAGCTCAATGACAGCACAAAAGGTAGATAACGCTGGGATGTCCCAGCCAATTCATTTAACACGGGGGCACAGAAAATGTTTGAAATGAATTCTACCAGAACACAGGAGCTCTGCACTTTTCCAGTTATCTAGTTTAATTACCAGAAGCCAGGTCATTTTCAAACTTAAGGTCAACTCATCCAAAGGTTGGCTCCAACTGTAACATTGTCCCCTACTTGGCAAACAGTATGGAACTTCTGCACCAGGAGGAAAGGCGTGACCTACCCATCCAACAATGTGCCCCACTAAATACACCTTCATCATCACTAGTGAAACCTTTCAGAACTGAATTGTCAACCTGGGCGTCTTTGACACTATCCAGGGGGTCCCCAGAAATCAAGGGAATTTTAATCCCATGATCAGTATAGTGTAAAATCTAACAGCCTCGTTGAGGACTCTGTATGCTTTGACAAATATTACAGGGGATGTGCAGCCTACTGTACAGCACCGACACAACCTTTTCTCAACCACAACCTCCTTCACATTATTTGTTGCAATCACAGTTGTGAACTTCAGGGTAATTAAAATCTTGGCTCCTTATTAGCGGTGATCGCCCTCCGTCACGATCCTGTCCGCCTCCACTTACTATAAAAGGCTGAGAGCTCCCGTCGATCAGGCCGTACAAAAGAAAAGCTGGAGCCCATGCAATAAACACTCAGGGGAAAAACACTCAGAAATAGGCTCTTTCTCTGCCCCGCGTCTGTCAAGACTAGTCTACGGCTGTTAAAAGATAATTCTGTGCAGTCCCAAAAGCTCTGTTTGGAAAGCATAGCAGCCACACTGACTGCCAGCACTAATACTGGAGCATTTTCATTGCATTCCCAAGCATTTTCAGGAAGAAAGCAGCAATCTGGCCAGTCAAACGGATCATCGATTAGACACACTGGCGAGGCTGCCAAGAACACTGACTGGAGGAGAAGGGAATTGAGAGATTAGCGAGTTTACTTGTAACTAGGGGCCGTGATTCAAACCGATTCACAAATATAAGGATGACACCGTCAATCAGATAACGCAGTCGTCTTCACCACCCCTTTAAAAGGAATAACCACACCCAGTACAGCGGACGGCTCTGTATACAATATGTAGATAGGAACCCAGCTCTCAGGACCAACAGAATTCAGTCTAATCGTCCCTAGTCCATATTCGATTTAACGCTATACTTCAGTACCGTCATTCCTACAGCACCTCGCTGTTCTAGACACCTGTAGATTCGACACATCTGGACTTTCGGCTGCAGAAGAGCGCACCAGCTCTGCCACTTACTGTACAACCGACAACCCCAAGTTGCTCTATCAACGGGTCGAGCTTCAGTGGAAAAAAAAAAACAACAACAGAACTTGTTTAATGCTAAAGGTTACATTAGAAAAAAATAAAATGCAATCTCGAACCAGGCGTGTGATGAGCCTGGGATGGTAGTGGCAAGTACAACTATCTGGATGAATCTTGCTGCAGGCTTTTCTGCAGCAAGCGGATTTCAAATGTATTCACACACTAGACAAAGTAAAACTTTTCACAAAACTTTAATATACATTGCTGGGACTCGGTGTTAACTGTGGCAAAATCACATACTCCTCAAACTTTCTGCGCTCAAATGTTTACATCTTCTCCTAAATTCTTTAAAACTTGTTAATGCCTAATATTTTTTATTTCCCCCACTCAATCTATTTTTTTTATCGCAGTGCTATAGGAAACGCTCTGCTGTTATGCAACCATTACTTCATAACACCTAAATTAAGAACTTATGGAGTTTACTCCTCGAGTGCTGTAACCTCTTCCCCACGTGTGCCTACCTGGCTTCCACAGCACTTAATGGGAAAGTGGGGGGGGGGACACTTGACTCACAACGCCAAGCGAACCGGCTGCATTCTTACCTCGGTTTCCAGCTGAACAAGCTCCATCTTGGGCCATGGGTCTGCAAGTTGTGCGAGTGGCATCCTGAAACCGTATCTTCCCAAACACCCGTAGAAATCGTTACACTAATGAAGCCAGGCTGAGCTAGAACTCCCGAGGTTTTTTTTTTGCAGTCCACGTCTTGCTAGCAGGAAAGCTCGCTCACAGGATCCTACCGTGGGAATCTGTTGGCAAAACCTCCTAGCAGCTCCTCTATAACCCAGTCGTTTACAAACAATAATGATCCCCCTTTAAAAATGACGTCGGCGTCTCCACTTGTCCACTTGTCCTCCTGCGAGCTTCAGACGGATACAGTCTCCCGTGTTAGCCCGAGCAAGCAAGGGGATGATTCTTCGGTGTGACTCGGCGGGCTCTTTCTAGGCAGGTACGTACAGGTTTGCAAGAAAGAAACAATGTAGCCGAAGCTCTCCAAGGTCGATGGCACTTCGCACCTGAGCAGCCCTGGGTCTTTACGCCCCAGGAATCGCTTTCTGGATAATAAATTCGCAAATCGTTTCCCAGAGGTTTGCAATGCGTTGTTTCCAAACAGGCGTTTTACGACAGCTGCATGGAGCTTAACCCAGGTTGTCAGACGCTTTCCGCTGCGAACCGAGAGCGCAGCGCCGTGTATCTCTGACTCCGCAACTGGCAGCCTCCAGCCAGCTTTCACCCTACCCCTTTCACGGCTCGTCCGGGCCGTTTGTCGCCCTCTAGCGGAGACGTGGTGCAAGCGAGGACAGCTATTCCTTACGACTGAATTGATGGGGGGAGATAACAGGGGAATACTAGAGGGTATTTGCAATGTCGCCAGTCCGGAGATGGTAGTCTTTCTTATTTTATTTTTAAATTAAACAAATAAAAACGTTCAAATAACTTTGTTTTTTTTTAAGATAGTGGCCAGTCTTCGGAATCCCTCCCAAAGAATATTTCAAATATCTCCGTATAAAATCTATGTATTATTCTAATTTCCAAAAATGTTAGTTACAAATATTTACTTAATGTTGCCTTCATCGCGTGTTAAAAATCAATAGCATGCAACTAAACTGTTACCATCAATTTGTGAAGTGTGGATTTTTTAATTTTGTGAAATATTTATCAATATATTGCATTCATTCAGAAATGTAGCTGTTTTGGGGAAGATTTCAGTATCCCCGGCTTGGACATCAGAAGCCAGCAGTGGAAGAGAGCACCGTCTTGTAAAGAAATGAATGAACAGCTCAGAGAAACGGGGGACAACTCAGTCCGACACCGGTTCGGATCTCTTTTTAATGATAACACACTGCTTTTCTTCCTGCCTCGATATTAAAAAAAAAAATAGGCGAACTATCGCTCACTAGCTTCTCTCACGAACAAACGAATCCTTTGGGGCCCTCTGTTGGCAATCAATCCTCAAAGATTAGACCATTTGAAATTCATACATTCATAAAGGGGGCTCTTCAAAAACATTCCTGCTTTCGCTTCCAATGTGATTCAATTGGTGAAGCACGTCTCCCCCTTTTCTTCTGAGCATGAGCTGCCGATCACGATTTGTCGCCCAGGAAAGTGCTTCCCGTCAACACTTTTGGGTTCCCTCATTATACAGTACATTGTCCTTAGGAGTGAATAAGAATAAAACCAAATTACCCTCCTCTACTACTGTTACTACTAATGATAAACTACAGCAGCTACTACTACTAATAGTGTATTATTATTATTATTATTATTATTATTATTATTATTATTATTATTATTATTAT